TAGATTTGAGTGCAAATCCTGTGGCTTCTACTCAGGCACAGTGCCCTACTTCAATGTACATAAAACCACAGAAAACAGGGCCGAAAAGGACTTCCTAACACAAGTTTGTCCAACCTGTTCATAAAAACCTCCACAACCTGCCCATGTAGCCTTCACCAGTGCTTGACTATCCTTCTAGTCTCCCCAAGCCCCTGGAAAAAAAAAGTTTAACCAAACTCTCCCTTGCTGTAATTGAAGCCCATGACTTCATGTTCTGTCCCCCAGTAGATATGGAGAACAATTTACAATATTCTGCTTTGCAGCATACTTTAATGTATCAGAAGACTGTTGTCTTGTACCCCCTCAGTCTTCTGCTAGCTAAATCTGCATCTTTTACTTGTGTAGCTGACTATTCCCTACCCAAGTGTAGGACACTGCACTTGTCCTAATTGAACTACATCTTGTTTATTTCAGACAATATTTCTCATTTGTCAAGCTCATTTTGAATGCCAACCCTATCTTCCAACGTGCTGACCACATCAAGCGAGTGTGATGAACTGTTAATAGCTGGTTGAGGTAGGCTATTAACTATTTAGGTTTTCCCTGAGATTGTTGCTTGTCCTTTTTTTTTTTTTAAATAAACCCTGTTATAGTATAAGGTTGCTTGTGAGTGGGGAAGTTTGTTCACACTAATCTGCCCAGTTAGCATTTATTTTCCCAGGTTACTGGGTGGAGCCTCAAGCCAAGATGGAAAACTTACGTGAGACCCTAAATGGAACTTGCCTCTTGTTACAGATGTCCAGTGCCTGGCAGAAGGGGTACATATAGATGGAGCCCTCAGTTCAAGTCTTGGTCCAAATCAGGAAGACTGAAGATGTAGAGATAGGTTTCCCACCTCCCACCTGAATGCCCTAATTAGTAGGCCTGTGTGAATAGGGAACTATTTGATTCAGATTCAGATTTGGCTGATTCGGATGCCAAACATTAAATCTGGAGATCCGAATAGTTTTTTTGATTTGATTCAGCCAAATCGCTTTGGAAGATTTAGAGCCGATTTGGCCATAGAGTATATGGGGAATCAATGAAATATCTATAACTTTGTTGTCTTTTAGATGATTCAGATGAAACTTGCAGGAATGTAGCCTCTGCTGAGAGTATGAAGCGTGCCAAGATTCAAGGTGATAGGTGCAGGGGTTTCTGGGAAACTGCACCTCAAAGTCCTGAAAGCAAAACTCATGTCACGTGTGTGTGTGTTAAGCCACAGTGGGGTAAAAACTGTAGGGATGGTAGCTCTTGCTGAGGCCACAAAGCCTTCCACATTTCAAGGAGATAGGTGCAGGGGTTTCTGGGAAACTGCACCTCAAACTGCTGACAAGCAAAACTCATGACATAGGTGACACTGTGTGTGTGTTAAGGCACAGGGGGGTGGGTGAAAACTGAAGGGATGGTAGCCCTTGCTGAGGCCACCAAGTCTGCCAGCTGTCAAGGAGATAGGTGAAGGGGCTTCTGGGTTCTGGGGCCCTGCACCTCTAGCTGCTGATAGGCAAAACTCATGTCATGGGTGTTTGTGCAACTGTGTCTGTCTAGTGGCATGAGGTGGGGGGGAGAAACTACTCAAGGCCTGGGTCCTAGGCCCTGCTGTGGCCACGAAGCCTGCCAGCTGTTAAGGAGATAAGTGCAGGGGTGTTCTGGGGTCCTGCACCCCTAGCTGCTGACAGGCAAAAGTCATGACATGGGTGCTTGTACAACTGACTGTCTCTGTCTTCAGGCAGAAGCAGTTCCCGGTTCTGTATTGATTCTTTTCTCTCCTTAGTCTGTGGTTTTGTAGGTATTAATCCTTGCTCATTAACTCGTTATCTAGTAGCTAGCTACTGTGTATTGAGCTGGTCACTGAGTGAATCATGATTGGTTGGTAACACAGCAACTTAGCAGCCAGGCCTGCAGTAGCTCCCCCTCCCCTGCATCCCAAGACAGACACAGTCCCACAAGCACCCATGTCACGAGTTTTGCCTGTCAGCAGCTGGAGGTGCAGGGCCCTAGAACCGCTGCACCTATCTCCTTGACAGCTGGCAGACTTCATGGCTGCAGCAGGGGCTAGCAGGCCTGCAGCTTTCACCCTGCTGCGCCTTAACACACACAGTGTCACCCATGTCGTGAGTTTTCCTTGTCTGCAGCTTGAGGTGCAGTTTCCCTGAAACCCTTGCACCTATCTCCTTGAAACCTGGCAGGCTTTGTGGCCTCAGCAAGAACTACCATCCCTGCAGTTTTCACCCTGCTGTGGCTTAACACACACACACACACACACACACACACACACACACACACGACATGAGTTTTGCTTTCAAGAATTTGGGGTGCAGTCTCCCAGAAACCCCTGCACCTATCACCTTGAAACTTGGTACACATCATGTTCTTAGCAGGGGCTACCACCCTGCAGGTTTCATCTGAATCAGCCAAAAGACAACAAAGTTATAGATATTTCATTGATTCCTCATTATACTCTATGGCTGAATCTCCAAATCTTTTCCAAATTGATTCGGAAGCTCTGAATTGATTCGGAAAGCCTAAAGCTTCCAGCAATTCGATTTGGATTTGGAGATTTGGCCTCCGAATCATCCAAATCATCTCCAAATCCGAATCATGATCCAAAGTTTTGCACAGCCCTATTAATTAGGTAGAACGGAAAGAGGGTAATTCCCTTTTTCATACAAAAGGGCTGAGTTGGTTTACCCCCAGAAGAGGATTCATGCATGAGCACCTTAACCAGAGATCAAGCCAGGCTGAGATACTTAACTAATGTTGAGAAGTAGGGCCTAACTAGGCCCCTCTTTTCAGCATTTCCCACTGGTAATTAAAGCAGCTCAGCTCATCTACTTTTGTGAATCCCTTTCTTAGGTACCTGATTCAAGATCAGCAGTTTGATGCCTGAGTCCTTTTGGTGCCTCTAGCCCTTTAAGCCTGTGAATCTGAGTGAAGATGACATCCTCTTCTAGATTATTTTAAAGGGAGCAATAAAGAAAAAAAATAGAACAAACTTGAAGGACCTACTTGTGTTTAGCAGGAAGATTCATTTCACCTCTGTGGTATTTGCTATGTGAAGAGCATGACCAGAAGCAGATGACTTTATGGCAAAAGATGGGTGCTGGAGAACAGAACATGGCTGCCAGGCCACCATAGTTGCCAAAGACATTTCAGGGGTTCCCCCCATACAGATCGAATGGTTCCAAAAGCAAAGCCTAATAGGATAGAAAGTCCAAGGCAGATTCTTTCTTGATCAGCACCATCAGCAACCTGCACATACTCTCTCATTCTGGCAAAAGATCCCCTACAGTAATGTTTGCCAAGTTTTTTAACAGGCAAGACAGATTCTTGTAGCTAGTTTTTTGAAAGTGGTGCTTAGGGTACAGGCAAATTAACATAGTGCAGTGAGCACGTTTACTGTGCAGTAACCAGTAACTTAGCCCTGTTTCATAGAAGGCCAAGCTGTTCTGCTTTAGTTTTCGTTGACTGTGGGCTTGGCAACTGGTGCCTCCTGGGTCGGGGTGGGGGGGGCACCCAGCATTGCAGCGTTCAGAAGCCACGCTGGTACCTTGAGGTATGTAGAAAAAACATTTAAAGCTGTGTCTATGTCTGAATCATTGATTTTCCGAATCAGCATCAAATCTTCACATTTGGGCTCGACCGAATCAAATCAGGGACAGTGATCCAAATCAACAAATCGAATTACTGTCCCTGATTCAGGCCAAATCTAAATCCAAATAGAATAGGGCCCACTTCGCACAGCCTTAATATGGACAGTTCCTGAACATCAGATGCTCTCTGGGTAAGCTTCTGCCTCTTTGTAATTTGTTCTAATTTGGCCACACCCTCAGACACATGTACAGCCAATTTAAACCCCTTCTTTCAGCTTAAATGACTCTTCTGTCTCCATTGTGTTTGCTCTCTGTAACTACCCTCTCAGTGGCACATCTACACATGCATTAATATGCAGTGGTTACTGCACATTTAATTTAGTACCTATAATAGCAATACTTGTTATTACAGGTACTAAACTAAATGTACAACTGGCACTACTGTGCAGTAGCACTGGTGCGCAGATTTTAGGTGAAACTAATGCACATTAGCATGGTTTTTGCCTGCCACACTAATGCACAGTAGAATTAGTCTACTGTGCATGTGGCATCTCATGTAAATGCACCCAGTCTTCCTTTTCCTAGGCTAACTCAATCTCACTATGCTGCAGTGACAGTATTTCCGAGCAAGTCTCACCCATCCACTCCCATCCCTATACTGCATGCCACTGATCATTGGCATGGCTACTCCAGATTTGTCTCCCTACAGCAGCTCTTGAAACCTAGATCACCGGTGTGGTTGGGAACAGCTGCTGGGGTGACCCTAGAGCAGCTTCACAGGCATATTTCCAGGTTTGGAGCATATCAGTGGGAGCAGATAGGCAAGGCCTGGTCAGGGCATTTTGCCACCTCAGCAGGTGCATCTCCACATGCACATTTACTGTGCAGTAACCAAAAATTACTGCACAGTATGGGCACGTGTCTACCCGTGCATTCCTGTACTGCACAGTATATATGGCAACATATGCTGACTTGGGTGTAAATTTGAAACCTCCATCATGCAGGTATCAAATTTATGCCTGCTTAGTTACTGTGCAGTAAAGCCTGCTTAAATCACCATTATTGCCTAGCTCCACTTCCAAAATAATGAACTGGAATTGCTTTTATACTATATACTATAAAGCCATATATTTGTTACACTGTAGCTCCTTTTGTTTTCACTTGATACGAGAGTGTGAAGCAGCACGTTATAGGCAGAAAATTATGACTCAGCTACTGTTACTGGGATCAGAAGTAACTAGAAAAATTGCAAAGGAAGAAAATCTTGGTGCAGTCTCTACCTATGTCAGTATTTTTATTTTTGTACATTATATGAATGTACTACACTTCATGGGTGACAGAAAGACAAGGCACCATCTTCTAACAGGCTATCAATAACACCTGTAGCTTGCCGTGATTGTACAGTGGTTAGTACTCTGTGTTGTGGCCACAGTAACCTTGGTTCAAATCCAAGTCATGGCATTACCTTGCAAGTGGTAGCATAGCAGGGGGTTCTGCCTCTTTCCTCGAGCAAAACTAAGGAAATTATTCTCCTGCTCTACTCAGCATTAGTGAGGCTGCAGCTGGAGCACTGCATCTAGTTCTGGGCACTACACTTCAAGAAGGATGTGGAGAAGCTTGAGGAAAGTCCAGAGAAGAGCCAGTCGTATAATTAGAGGCAAGAAAAGAGATCCTAGGAAGGAGAAAACTTTGGGGGGTTTGGTGGTAGCTTACAAATACAGCAGGGGAGAGCATCAAGAGCTACGCAAACAACTATTCACCAAAGCTCCCCAGGGGAAAACCAGGAGCAATGGTCATGAACTCCTAAGTTTCAGACTGGATATAAGGAAAAACTTCATGGTTTGTGTGACGAGACTCTGGAATAGACTCCGAGCAAGGGTGGTACAGGCACCTACCCTGGAGATCATCAAAAGGAGACTGGACACTGGGGTTAGTTGACCTCAGTGGTCTTTCCTGCCCAGAGCAGGGGGGCTGGACCCAATGATCTCACGAGGTCCCTTCCAGCCCTAAACTTCTGTGAATACTGAGAAGATGCAAACGGCTTGCATGCCAAGGGAACAAGAGGCTGGTTTTGTCATCAAAAGCACTTAGTAACATGATACGCAGTAAAGTGCGTGTATGGAGGAGAGGGCATGGATTGATTTAATATGCTCCTGTTTTATGCTATGGATACACAACACAGGTATTATGGAGTAAATTGACTTTTACTTTGTTATAAATGTGTCATGGATACACAATACACAGCTGTGCTACACAATAAAAACCATACCCCAGGTAAAACGTTATACCTTGAAAAACATGTAAGAATTGTACTAGGTGGGAAAGTTACGATGTAGAACTTGTCAATTTCTTGCTATGCTAGCACTTTACTCGGTACAAACCAGATCCTCTACCACTTCTTTTGTATGTAATTCTACACTTTCTTGTTAAAACAGGAAAAGTCACTCCTTGCTTGAGTAATAGTATAAGGATGGAAATTCAGTATTAAAGCTGCCAATGTAACTCTACAAAGTATCTTAAAAGTTCCATGGGGCAGAACAAAGCTGATGAAAAATGCATTTCATTTGAAAGTTTATCTAAGCCAGGGGTAGGCAAAATGCAGCCTGCAAGTCAGATGCAGTCCACCAGGCCATTCTATCCAGCCCGTGGGGCCCCTAAAAAATTTAGAAAATTAATATTTATCTGCCCCTGACTGCCTGTCATGCAGCCCTCAATGGCTTGCCAGAACTCAGTAAGTGGCCCTTCACCCAAATAATTGTCCACCCCTGCCTATCCTAACCATGCAGTTGGTCCAATAAAAGATACCCACAAAAAAGTTTGGATCCAGATAAATATTTTATAGTGTGTCAGCTTTCAGGTCTATTTTGCTAGGAATTGTTATAAAAATTGTCTAAGCTGTAATAACAGTACTGGGCAGAAGGACAAAAAGGAAATCCTGTATTGTTCTGATCATAATGTGAATCTGCATACAAGTCAACCTCACATTTTCGGGTTCAGTTGTAGGAAAACCAGCTTTTTTCCCCCAGAGTGTGAGTCAATAACAGAGATAGTCTTTGAAATGTTTACTGCCCTTGCATAATCCCACAGGAGAATCAAATAAACAAGAAAGGACTCAAAACAGCAGCTTCTGTACCAAAGTAAGACCCTTAGTAAATGGCCAGGTTTGAATTGCAGTTCTAGATTCAAACTGTGTGAGAGGTTAAAATCCTGGATCCAAATAGCCCTGGTTTTAAGCTACAAAATCTAAATTTTCCTATTTTGAGGGATTTGGGGAAAGGAGAACCTGGATGGTGGTATTTTACACCATTGTTACATGTAGGTATCAACTCAGATTTGATCTCTCAAGTGTGAAGAAAGTACAGCCCGCTAATTTGTATTTTAGGAGAATTAAATGTGTTGTTTTTAAAGACATTTAAATACAATAAATTACCATTAATTAAGCCACAGACATTTTTTAACTTTATTTTCAGGATACCTAGCATTTTCAAAATAAGACACTGTAAAAATGGGTTTCAAAAACTTCTAAACATCCACCCTTTTGAACTGTATCCAACCGTGCATGGCTTCCTTCTAACTTACCTTGTAGGTAGTTTCCTGGGTCTGTGGCTCAAGCAGTAAACCTTAGATTGCCCCATGACTGGGGACCAAAGGATTTCCAGCCCCTCACTCTCTCCAGTAAAGGCAAACATCTGGAAGCCTCCCCTTGGCATGGGGATCTTGTGGGTTCTGAGCTCCCACCGCAAATTAATGCCTATCTCCCACGCTAATGGAGCACACCAGAGAGATCCCCAGGGAAGTATGGAGGTGGTGGCCATTTGAATCAACCCAGCCTTTCTTGCCCTTAGTGTCATTTCAGGAGCTTCACATTGCTCCAATGGTAGGTCTACCCTGCCAACAGGCTGCGTGTGATTTTAATAATTCTTTTTTAAGGAAGAAGAGCTAAACTTAGAATAACCCAGTAATTATTCAGTACGGAAGATTCATAAAACTAAAGGCTGGAAGAAATATCTAAAAGCAATAACTTTAGCATTGTCAAGACTGCAACACCATAGTAAATAATTTGTAATCCAGAACAATTCTTTTTCTGCATTCAGCACTGAACATTGAAGTGATCATGCTATAAAAGTAAAAAAAAATCTAACCAAACACAGCCCCGCCCCCTGAAAAATGACTATGTAGTCATTTCCCAACTCTTTGCAGGGGAGGAGAGGTATGTTTACTACCACGTGCTATCTAATAGTGCCAGGGTGGGCGAAAGAAGTGAGAACAAATTAAAACTACAGATTAGCTATACAGGTGGCTCTACAGGAAGGAATGGTAAAGCACAGTAAGTCTTTAACTTGCAGTTGTCTTGAATAAAATATGAGAGTTTTAAGGCAATTATCTGTTGCTTTCTTCAACATTGCCTTACTAGAAGACATTAATTGGCTAGAATTTTTGTCAGCATCCTCGCTTGTTTTGACTTCAGGCAAATACATATTTTTTTCACCCTTACTGCTTTGCCAAGAGCGAGGGGAAATGATGATTGAGTGCACCTCAGTGTTGAGCAGCAGCATGTTTGTCAGCTGTTGGAGGTGCTTTGGGTTATATCAGCCTGCTGCCATCAGCTGCTTAGCTAGACGCCTATGGCTGCTGGTCTTCTGTGGACACTTCTGTTACAAAGCAATGGTACATTCAGAGCTGTACATCTGTTCTGGTGGCAATGGGCCCATGGCACCTCAGGCGATTGCAACAGATGACTAAGGGGAAGCAACACACTAAAGTTACATTAAAGAGACCCAGATGAAGTTGTATGCAAGGCAGAACCAGAGCCAGTGGAAAGCTTCCGAAAGAGATGAACTAGCCTCTGCATGAGAGTGGAGAGGCTTACACAGCACTCTGTGAAATGCCACTGTAGACTCAACTGCTAATTCAGAAGGTAAGTCTATCACCATTCTGGCAGCAGAGACACAATGGCAAACAACATTTGCTGGAAGGAAATTTTCCATTAGAACTTCTTCGTTTTTTTGCATCTTGTCAGTCATAAGCCGTAAGAAAAAAATCAAGGTGACCTATCCTATGAGGACAGTGTATGAGGAAGAGTTATTCAAGTGCTTTAGGCCCCTGGCACACATTACACTTAAGACATGATTAACCAGTTAATCATGTCGTTACCCAGCCACACACTAATGCAGTTAATAGTGTGATAAAATGAGGAATAAACCATAGTTATTACACAAAAACGTGTAGTAACTGTGTTGCTGGTTCCTATCATGCCATTAATTGAACATGTGGCCAGGCAGCCCTTGGGGGAGTAGAGAAGGGGTGGCCCCCATAGCTGGGGGCCCCTCAGCTGATCCAGGCTCTGTCTCAATGCATCCTCAAGGCTGGGAGCAATCAACTGTTGGGGCTCCCAGCTACAGGGGTGCACCATGTGCTCCCACAGCTAGAAGTCCCAATCAGCTGATGGTGCATCCCTGCAACTGAGAGCCCAGATCAGCTGATGGGACTCCCAGCTGCAGCTTGCTAGTCAGCACAGGAGGAACCTGGGATCATGATTACATAGTTTTTCCTTCCATATAATTTTCCACATATAGAATGCAATTATTGGGGGATCATCTTAAATTTGCTACCCCTTACTGCTGCAGCAGGGAAAGTAGCAGCAGGGGGGCAAGTGGGGGCAGTAGCAGAATAAGCAGGCTGTCCCCTGCCCCTGGACTCCCTTGTGAGTCTGCCCCCCTGCTGCCTGTAACCCAAGTGTCTGCCTCTGGTGCCTGCTTTGGCCACTTGCTTTCCCCTCTTCCTCCCTACATTTTACCATGTGAAGCAGCTCTGATTCTGGCTCCAGCTCTGGCCCAGATCATGGAGCACACAGTGGCTCTGGCTCACTTGCCCCAGAACAGCTCTCCTGCCACTGCACAATCTCCCCCCCATGCCCCACCCCACCCCACCCCATGTCATCTTACTCTGGGTTGGGACCAGTTGGAGCAGTACCTGCCTCAATTGGTACTCAAATCCTAGAGAGTTTCTCCCCCCTCATTTGAATGGGGAAAAAAACCCTTCATGTTGGATCTGAGTACATATGGCATTTCAATACATTTCTAAAGATGCTGAACTAAGAGTTACGACTTGTCCCTTGGATTCTGCATGCATCCTCTGCAACTTTCTTCTGTTTTTTGCTAATTAACTACAGAAATTATAACAACCAGCATGTTAATATACAAGAAACGCTCCAATTGGCCTCCTTTGTGTTTGAACGGAGGAAGGATTTCTACCAGGGAAAAAGTACAAGATAAAGGATTGTTAATGTACAAGTCACTGACTATAAAAGCATGGCTCCTTTCCTGCTAATGCCCTTTATTTCCCTGCATTTGAGGTCTGATACCTTCTATTCACCTTCCTTTTTGTTTTTTAGAGACATTGGTCCACAATTCTTTTAATTCTCTCCTCTACCTTTGATGAGCGATATGACCTGCCCTTTAATACTCAATGCCCTATATGTAAGAGTTCTTTAATTGTGATAGACTCTTTTCTTCTACATCCTCACTTTGCCTCTCTTCATTCTCCCCTTGGTAGTTTACAATTTGGTATGTTCTTCTGCTGGCCTACGACTGTATCATATTTCTAGAAGTACTCTGTAAGCATTAGTTTATCAATAATCAAAAGACCCTATGCATAGTATTATGAAATGGGAAAAAAATGAGACAGAGTTAGAGAAATCTGGTGATAAAACAGTAACATTACTTAAGTCTCTTCACCTTCCATCTAACTGACTTGAAGTACTCAATACATTAATGAATCAGTAAAAAGAATAAAAACACAGACACGTTAATATTCTGTGTGATCAGTATCTTTTGCTGGAGACACAGAAATTGTACTTATTTATTAAGACTAAGCTTTAAGGCCTTAATATTCTATACATTATTCAAACTGTTACAGTTTTATTCAGCAGAGGTAATCAATCAGCTCATTAGTTCTGAAATGCATTTAGCAATATACTTTGCTAAAACGTCATATAAATAGTAATTGAGCTATTAATATCCTTTAATTATCAGTGAAGAACTAACAAATCTAGGACATAATAACTGCTGCTTTTTTCAAGAAACACAGGGGCCCTTCAAGCTTTGCCACCCTGAACTGTTCTCTTGTTAACAATGGACAGTAAATGATTCTTCTGTACATCACGCACACTGTGAAGATGCTTCAGCTACTACAGGGTTTTCTTTTTGTGGACAGCAGCACACGTCAATTTTGGCACAGATATTCTTTTTTTTCCCCAAGTTTATAAATACAAGATGCTTCCTTGATCTCACCACAGGCAGCTATCAAAACATACAAAAGGGGCTAGACATAAGAAGTCTCACTCCACACTGACCATCATTATATGTTCCTGGATATCAGTATAATACCAATATTCAAAATCCATCCTTTAGATCTGCAGTGTCTCAAGTGCAGGTCAAGAACCAAAACATGATCACTGAATCTTCAAATGCCGCTTTGGCTTTCTTCTCCCATTAACTGCAGGAGTTAAGCTGATCAACTGCAGGTTTTCATTGCTGGTGAATATAAAGATTTCTCTTAATCAAACAGGAACAATACACAAGCAGGTAAATGTTATGGTTATGTTCATTTAGTCTCAACTTTAAAACTAAGTGCAATTCTTGAATACATGGCAAGTTGCTCAGTTACCTAAAGGTGACACAAAGTTTGGACACTTGTTTTAGAAAACTGCAGCCAACAATTACCTGGAAGCATCAAGAGCAAATCCTCCCTCTTTAGGGCTGGGGAAGAGCATTTTGGGAAGGAGATTTCCCTTTCATCTGAAGCACCAGATACTGATCACTGCTGAAAGGCAGGGTACTGGAATGGGATGGAGCATTAGTCCAATTTATTATGGCAACTCTTACATGCTTTCTTCTTTTCACAACTTTATTAAATAAGCTTAGCAGCTTGTACAGTTAGAAAATAAACCAAGTTAAAATGCACACTATTTAAAAAGCAGGTCTTGGCTTTTATATTGCTCTTGCAAATACATCTAGCTTTATTTTAACTCACTTCCCCAATAGTTCTATATTTCTTCTTGGAAACTATGCTCCATTTGTATCTGAAGTTTTTGGACATTTTACAAACTTGGATGTCAACAACTAAAACAAAAGTATAACAACTATAAGGCGTGATAAACCAGTATAAGGACAGGTAACACTATGGACACAAAAATAAAGACAAAAGGCCTCTGAAATCAGCCCTTCCTGGGTAGAACTAAAAATTCTGTTATGTTAGAAGAATTTTTCAGTGTGGCAAAAACATAAAACCAAAACCAAAAATGAGATTAGATCAGCACAACCTTTACAATAGTCACATAATAGAATCTGGACATCTTTTGTTTGTCTTTAGCACATTTATTATTGGTCCTATACTGGCCTCTAGTTTTCATAGCTTGTGGGAGACTCCACAATTCTTTCTGGTAAATAGTAAGTATCAACACTACACAAATTTCATAAGGTGAGCCTAAAGTTAACCTCCAGTGAACTGCCTTCTTTACAACATTTTTCAGTTGCATTCTATTTTACTTTCTTTTACAACCTACTGGTCCCTCCTCTTTCTCCCTGAAGAAAGAAGGGTTAGGTGGCATTTTATATCTTAGACGACATAGATTCATTCTAAACAGACTGCAATGTTGTATGCTGAAAATATGGTCAGTAAATAACAAGTAGGAATCCTAATTGTCCACAAATATTCCACCAAAAATGGAGCAAAGTCAAAAATATAGAAAATAATGGTCAGTCTCAGTTCAGCCAGTGTGGCAGCTGATGTGCATATGCCATAGTCTAATTTAATAGATACTTCTTCCCAGCTTAATCTAGGTGTCGGTTTAGCAAGAAATCTGGCTCTCGATATCCAAATAGTTTAAAGTCTCCTTCAAAACGGGCATATAGGCGTTTTATATCTCGCTTGCTAATTCCTGAGAAATAGCGCTCTACTTTTGTTTTGTTGTATTTTGTTATGCCTGGTGGAATCGTGGGATAGGATACCAGATGGTCTATTCCTGCTGCTTTCAAGATATATGGAGCATCATCCTCTAGAGTTTCATGATGTCCAATCACAGTGTACGATATTTCACACGGAGCACAAAGTTCCACATACGTTACCCAATGAATGATGTGATCCCCAAACTGAACATCTAGCCATCGGTGATTAGGATCACCCAAATAACGCACAAAGTCCTCAAACTGCAGCCCCCTGGTCTCTGTGCGATTCTTCCTATATTTCCGGATAATACCAGGAGCAATTTCATGCCTGTACCAGGGTTCAAATCGAGGATTGTGGACAAACTTGTCCTTAAATGCAGAAATAAGTCTCTCAAATGGATCTCTTACAATAAAAAACTTGAAGTATAAATTCAATCTAAAGGAAAAAAGGAATAGCAGGGATTAAAAAGATGGAAGAAGTGAACAAGCTACTGAAGAGCTACAAAACTTAGATGAAACATGATGACTTCTGTAACAACATGGCTCCTAAGAAGCACTTTTCATTACCTGCAGTTATTACAATGAGCAAGGTTTAAAATGTTTTACTTACTTTAATGACTACAAAGAATTGAAAAATGTAAAAACAAGGAGGGTTTAGTTTTGTTTCTATAATTTAAGGATTAACTGAATCTTCCTCGCTGACAAAAGAGGGCTGAATCCCATTAACAGTGAACAGCTCTGAACTTCTAAATGCAGGAGTCTCAGGTGCAAATAAGAACAAAAATACAGAAAGTGATCCACAACGGCTAGGACAAGCACAGTTGAACATACAGAAGAGCTGAGCTCTCACTGCCAGATGGCCAGACAAATTACTGCTATATAAAATACAATTTTTACTTTTTATTTAAAATTTTGAAACACATTTCTTAATCATAGTTTAGAAAAACAACTTTCATACCTGACAGGACAGGATGATACTCAGAACTATAACTTTTTCACAGTTAGTTTTGACATCAGTAAAGATTTAGTTTTTAATTTACTGTAAACAAAGAGAGGCAAGATGCATGAAAGTGGAGACAGTTTTTTCCCCTACATGGGTAACCTCTCAATCCAATACCCACTGAAGTCAATGAAAAGACTCTCATCAACTTTACTGTACAATGGATCAGGCCTTCAATTGCCTAAACTAACAAGGCAGGATTAGAGAGGAGCACAAATCAGATGCACACCATCCTCTGCTCCCCTACTAAAATTTTTTGTCAGTTTGGTACAAGACTGCTAACCGAATCTTAGCTTTGGGTCTTGAGCCAGTCTCTGTGATTGTCTGAAAGACAACAACCCAAACTTTGCAGGAATTCACCTTCAGAACACTCACCTCCAAGGTGAATAGTCAGGTATTAAGCAGGGTTGCTCACTGGAGACAGAACAGTTGAATCTCCAGCCTTAGAGATGTGATAGTAGTTTCTAAGGGAGATTTTACAACGACCAAGTATGAGGAGAGGATTCTTCCAGAGCCCTAGTTCAAAGTCCACTGTAAACACTGGGATTTATTCCAACAATTTTAATGGACTTTGGACCAGCTCCCAGATTTGGGGTCACCTCTCTCTTAAGGAGCTATCCTTATCTAAAACCTTCTCTTCAAAGTGGCTTGTAAAAGCTATGGCCTTGGATATAACAACAAATTTTTTAAGGCATCCACATAAAAATCTCTTCCCAAGTGTCCACAAACATTTTGCTTCTTGCTCTCTTCCTTCCCCAACCCTGATTTTTGTGGTATCAACATGAGTAAAGGTGGTAGAAACTTAGGTACCCTTAGATGGTAAGCTCTTCTGGGCAATTTGTCTACTGCTTGTCAAAAACAACCTGAAGATGTGTGGTCTTAAGTAATAAACAGATATACTAAATCAGTGGTCCCCAATCAGTTGATCATGATTGACCGGTCAATTGGGGAGGCTCTTTTGGTCAATTCTGGGCTGGGGGGTGGGGGCTGGACACACGCATGAGCACATACCCCTCCCCCAACCCAGCTGGTCAGTCTATGGGGGAGGGAAGGGGCGGGGGCCAGAGAAAGGCTCCTGCAGTGAGGGACTGACGGTGTGACCCAGCCAGAAGCAGAGGAAGGTGAGTGGGCCCCCAGCTCAGCTGGGTGGTGGAAGGATTGGAGCCCAGGGGCTCATCCATGGGTGGGGGGGCCTCTCACTGCTGGATGCACTCCAGCAGAGGCCCTGGAAGCATGTGCCCCTCCCCCCCTAATCTCCACACGGGGCAGAGGTGCACCTCAAGCCCTGCTACGGCTGGCTATATGCAGGTGTGGCTCAGCCCAGCAGCAAGACACATATGGTAAACAGCCACTCCTGGACCAGCTGCAGTGGGGCTCGGGGTGCAAAGTCCAGCCTGCAATAACAGCCAACTCCACACAAAGATGGGGGGGCACATACGCCCCCCAGATGTGGGGCAGTGCAGTTGGCTGCAGCAGCGGTGAGAGAGGGTATGGGGCAAACCCTGCACAGACAGGGTGGGAGCAGGATGGAGCTGCGAGCAGCTTATCCGGTGGGGGCATTTGCCCCCAGATGTGCACACAGGGGAGGGTAAGCTGCAGCTGTGAGCTGGGCTCTTCCCAGCAAGGGTGTTGGGCCATGCGATGCTTGGGCCAGGCAGTAGCAGTGCTGGGAGCGGAGCTATGGGGCAGGGGAGGGGCTGCAGGCACCCAAAAATTTGTTGTAGCCCTCCAACCCTCTCTCAGCACTGTCACCACCTGCCCTGAGCGCATGACCCAACACCCCCATCGGAAAGAACCCAGTGCAAACTTCTCATCCCCCTGAGGGGGGAGGAGAGGGGACAAGCAGGCTGCCGCTGTGGGCTAGGACACTATGCTATGCTCTTCCCGGCGGGACCTGGGCCGGGCTGCGCTCAGCATGGGCAGCTGCAGCAGTCCTGGGAGGGGGTTGGGGGAGCTATGGCAAATTTTTACGTGCCTGCAGCCCCTTCTCCCCCCATAGCCCTGCTCCCAGCTCTGCCTCCACTGCCCAGCCCGAGTTCAGTGTGGCCAAACACCCCCGCTGGGAAGAGCCCAGCACTGCCCCAGCCCCAGTACACACTGCCCTGCCCTGCATGTAGATATGGGGGCACACCCCCCCCAGGCCTTCCTGGGTTGCATGCGCTCCCCAGACGAGCTGCTCGCGGCTCTGTCCCGCACCCTACCCTGGCTGTGCACGGTCTGCCCCTGCCCCACTCCCTTACTCACTACCGTGAGGGGGCGGACAGACTGAGGCCCCAGCAGTGAGGGAGAGGGCAGAGCACAGGCAGGAGCAGAGACCGGGGAGAGTGGGGAACAAAAAGAGGTCGGGGGGGGGCACATACCCCTGGGCCTCCACTTGTCCCACCACCCTGCCCGGCCAGGGCCCCACCCTCCCCAGCCCCTGCTCCCGCCTGTGCCCTGCTCCCTCCCCCACTGCTGGGGCCTCGATCTGCTCCGACCCTCCACAGCCCTTTCTCCTCCCCCAGGGCTCTTCCCCCAGACTTACCTGCTGGGGGAAGCATGCCCCCCAAATAATTTTTTCTCCCTCTGCCTGGATCTGCCTCCCCCCTCCCCTTCCCACAGTGACATGCGGGTGGGGTACAGGGAGGCAGCGCACAGTAGATCTTGGGTTGCTTTTTAATTCAAAAAGTGATCTCCTACCCAAAAAGACTGGAGACCATCATTCTAAATAGATCTATATGGAATTACCCTTTTGAATTACACACTGGAATTACCCTTTGGAAATGGGCATGGGATGGTAACATCAGAATTCACATAGCCAATGAAAGTACACTGATGAACAAAGGGTATAAGAGAAGTAAAAGCCTCCTTGGTTCAAGGTCTGAATTTGAAATGTGCAGTTTCTTTATTTCCCCTTCTGGTTTGGAAATTCACCAACTTCCCTAAGAAATCGCCTCTCACCTTTTCTGTATTTCAGAGTCACTGAAAGAAGATAAACGTGGTAGGCCATTCTTCTCGTGGTCATGCACAATGTTTTCTGGAATCTCTTCTATGGAAGAAAATGCTCCTAGATAAATCAGACAGATAGAATAAGTTACAGGAGAGGAAAGGAAAGAAACAAAAGAACATGTCTCTCAGTGGCGGATTTTCACCCTCTCTGTGTTGCTTGTATCTATGGTTACTGGATTTACAGTAGTTAAAGAACAGGAGATTCTGACCACAATGCTAACAGCTGTTAACACTTAACAGAATACTTCTTTCGGAGATTTGTTATGCGATGACTACAACTGTAGCCAAGTCAGTTCAAGCCTCTCAATAATGCGTGGTGAACAAGTTGTTTCTGTAATAAAAAACAAGCCCTCCTCCCTCTTCGCACAACTCTCCATGAAATGCAATTGGAAAGGCTTTGAAGATTAGCTCTGAGGAACAGAAAAAGGCTTATTTTTTCCCTCTTATTTTTTGTTGGAAACAAAATCAAATGCTGTAAACTTCTAGTTGAACTGCAAGAACATTAAACACTTTGCTGTCAGTATCTTAGCTGTCTCCTCTCCCTCCTGCCCCCTTTTAAGAACACTTATACACTAAAATGAAAATTAAAACAAATTCACATCATTCAACATCCACAGATTTTAATAACACAATCATAAGGAAGCATCGCCAGGACTTTATCAGCAGCTAAGTTCTCCCCCACGTGGTTACATACTCTGCTCTGCAAAGTGATACATCCACACAGAGCACTAGGGAAATCAAAAGGAACTCTGTCTGTTGATAAGGCTATCAGTAAATAAAAATGGTACAGGTGCCTGGCATCACTGCCCTCATTGCCTTTACCTACATAGTAAGTTTGCCCAACAGCAGTAATAGGTTACAATGCTGGAACAAGTACAGAATCATCAAACCAAGCAGTTCTATGTGCTTCTTCTACCCTAGTGCTTCCACCCTCCACTGGAGCTACTAAGGATGAGAAACAGTTCAGTAAAAAGCTTAGTTTAGAAGATGCCACAGTAATTCACAGAACCTAGATCCTATTTATTTTGGGCTTGTGCTATATTACATTTTTTAATGGTTTACTTGTGTGAATTTAGAGCTTGCAAAAGATGCAAGACTGGTCAGCCATAAAAAAATGAAACCTCCCTATCCATTCCCAGCTGGATCCCTATATATGAGCTGGAGAATAAGCCTCCATTATGGATAAAGAATCATAAATATCCACAATTTGAGAGCTGAGCTCACCAGTGTCAAACTAAGTGTTGGTATTTGCTACCAGGCACTCATCTATTGGGAACCAGAGCAAGATTGCACATATCTTACCATTGGCCACAGCACTCAAATAATAACTTCAAGTTATCCAACTGTCATGAGTTCATATGAGTAACCTGGAGGCAAAAGTTTCCAATTCCCAGTCCTGTCATTCATGCCTAAACAAAAGCTTTCCAATAAATGTATCTAATCCCTCCAGTGCTGTTACAAATTGCTTAGGGCAAGAATAACACTGCTCCACCATCAGCAACCCAGAGCTGCTCTTTGCACGCCCTCCATTTTCACTAAGTACTCTCCGAGTAGTGGAGAGGATTCCTTTGGTAAGCCACTTTTTATATGTTCTTCTAGCTGCACAATAGAGCATCTGCCACGGCAGTTGTACCAGCTTCATTCTTAGCCTGTGTGCATCACTGACTTCCATCTTCCTTTCAGAATAACTTTGGAGACAAAGAGATGACAAAATCTCAGAGAAAAATCTTAGCATATGTTATAAATTCCTTCTATTTAATAGCTAGTATTTTCCCCAAGGTGTGGCTTTCACAATCATTTAGACATCCATCTATACTCTCTGTGGGGTTCCAGCTTTCAACCCCTTATGTTAAGATGGAAATTACATCCAAATTAATGCTCTGGTACTGGTCATTAAGGTGTAAATTGTCAATGACAACCTTGCTTACAGTCTGGCAAATGCAACTACCACACTGCCAATTTGTGATTTCTTCTAGACAGCCCTACTGTCTGGGTACTGCCAGTGTAAGTAACTGAGACCATCTCATATATACCTTTGCTTTCCAAGTTAATTCTTGAGTTGCAAGTTGCAGGATACTCCTTATGCTATCCCCAAATTATTATACCCATTTACCATTTAATGATGGCATTTGCAAAATCTCTTGTGTATATTAAACCATCTTGTGGTTTAATTCATGCTCGTGTTGTGTCCCTTTGAACTTTTTCTTCATAAGGCTGTCAATGGCAGTGTTACAAAGGTGACTCCAGAGAATGCACCTTCCTTTGATACTTGTGTTCAAGTTAAAGTGTTCAATCAGGTTTGCATGTGTTACACCTTAGCATAAAGCCAAAAGGATGCAAATAATTTTTCCTCACATACCAGAAGACTTCACACATGTAGAAAGCTATTTTGTATAGAGAAAGAGTGAACACCTGTGCTATTTTATTAAAATAATTTAATGAAGCTGTGTTATTTTAATAAAAATCACAATGCAATCTTGTTAGACTTGTTTTAAATAATTTTACCATATATTTTCACTAATCAGGCTATAATCCCCAACTGCCTGATTGATCTCTGATAACTCATGCCATGATTCATTAATAATATACACTTAAAATCTCAGTTTTATAGACCTGCGCAGCTGCCACATTTAAAATGGAGAACTGCAGTCAAAATAACAACTCCAGCCTCATGCCCTGGAATTTATAGCATTACTGAAAAAATAAATATTTATGACCAGAAACCTGAAGTTATGAGTGTTCCTTTTATTGCTAGGTTCAATCATAGTTTCACAGTTGGTAGGGTCGGAAGGGACCTGAGCAGATCATCAAGTCCAACCCCCTGCCATGGCAGGAAAGGATGCTGGGGTCAAATGACTCCAGCTAGGTGATTATCTAGCCTCTTTTTAAAGACCTCCAAGGTAGGAGCAAGCACCACTTCCCTTGGTTAGGATCTAGTTGGTTCCAGATCCTAGTCAGCCTGACTGTGAAGTAGTGCTTCCTAATGTCTAGCCTGAACCTACTCTCAGTCAACTTGTGGCCGTTATTCCTAGTGCTCGGGGGAACACGGACTCTTCCATTCTAGAGAGTTTAAAAATGCCTTGGCTTAGGGAACTATAGCACTTTACGAACAGCATCTTAAACAAGTACATCAGGAAGTGCCCTGACAGCAAACCTGCTACATTTATAAAAGTCATAGCTCAGTGACTCAAATTGCTTTGGAGTCAAAACAATATTCTTTTTAGCAGAAAGACATTTTTAAAGAGAACATTAAAAAAGGACTGAAAGGAACTGCAAAAACTGAATGACTAGAATGAAGTAACAGTTAGTAGGAGTATGCAAAGAAATTGATTTCAATGCTTTCCCATTTGTGTTCCCATTTTCCCATAGTTTTGCCCTTCCCCCTGAGCAAAAAAGCCCATTAAAAATAGAACAGGTACCATTTAACACAATTAAGACTTTTTTCCATTGAGTGTTGCCCACTTTTGGAGTCTGACAGAACAAGATCTTGTGCTTGTCACACACAAATATTCGGTCCAAGATGAATTTGGAAACTGTAGTATGAGAGAGATTTCTCAGCACTGCGTCTCTGCAAACATTCCGGAGAAGCTCAAGTCTTTCCATATGGATCAGAGGTTGGTGCATCAGATTTCCAGAAAGCACTTTTCCAGTTGGCTTATTATTTAAAAAAAGAAAAGAAAAGCAAGTGTTTTGCTTTTATATCAAAATGTAAAGAACAAGAAACCAGTCTAGCTGTGTCAATTTCCTTCCCCCATGCCCTCAGTGCACTCCCCCCCAAAATATTATTGGCTGTTTACTGAAGTGATGCCACATCAGCCCATCTCTTAGTAGCAGGGGTGGATCTAGGAGGTGGTGAGGTGGTGCACTTGCACCCCTCACTTTTGATTCCTACCCCACCCAAAATTTAAAACCAGCTGCCTGTTTTTTTTCTATTCAGGCAGTGCTGAGAGAGTCAATTGATTTCATGGTTCATTGTAATCTCCCTAATTCCTGTTAATCTCTCTCCATTCCACATCTGTTAATGATCCTCTATCTTTTTTTAATAGTCTCAATATTTCACTAATCAAACTATCCTTTCTTCTGCAATTTTGCCCTGTTAGCCATTCCCAGTAATGTCTCTCTTCTATTTCACAGCCCTGCAGACTGTTTTAACTCTAGCTAAAAACCTTAACTCAAGTGTGAGAATATTAACTCAGGTGTAGAAATGACTGACAGTGAAGAACTGGAGGTACTGTCAAGATGCTCAAGAAGGCTCAATTTTGTTTTATGAAGCTGAATAAGAGATGTACATTTAACTAAAATGACTAGAAGGCTAGTGATACCTCTTTTGACTACTTTTTGCCTAGTTCATTGCGGTTTCTTTGAACTGTATATGTAATCTAGTAAATTAGTGCACGTTCCAATAATTATATTTGTTTTTTGCTTTTTATCTTAAACTCAGTAATATAGTGCTAGCCCCTCAGCATATTAGTAAAGCATCTAGTTTCTCTATAACTGGAGAAAAATGTGTTTCGTGTTATATGGGATGATGTGCAACACAAGCTCCACCGCCTTTTTCAAAATCCTAGATCCATCAATGCTGAGCAGTGTTGCTACTGGTGCTGGTGTGCTTTTTCCAATGACCATCTAGAACTGCAAGTCTTCCTCTACTGTACTTTTTGGCTTGCTGTAACAGGGTTTGGTCTTATCTGATCTGTAGTTCGGAACAAACCACACTTTTTTGAGAGCCTGAAGAATATATTTACTGAACTGCCAGTGGCAATTTTCAGGCTACAGGACAGGAGAAATTCAGCAGAAACTAAATATTAATGGGGAGGGAAAAGGAGATTCTACCCTTTGGTTGGCAAGAGACCATTCTGTCTAGACACAGTCTAATGTGATGTCTTCCACCAATGCTTCCAATTCTTCCAGCTGCAGCAGATTGAAAATTGCAAAATTTTGAGCCTGTTTCACTGGTACACTTAGAACACTATGAGCAAAAGTCCCTGTACTTGGCTACTATTTGGGAAAGCAGAGGCCTGCACTAGAAGTATTCAGAGTAAGGAAGGATGATCCTAAAAGAAAGAAATCTTTCAGTCAAAAAAAGAAAAGAAGAAAAAAGTGGAGGCGGGGTGGGGGGGGACGACTAAGATTTTATTGTTCCTTTACAAAGACATAAGGGTAAACCTCTCAAAATTCTTTCTGGTGGAATTGATTATTGATTACACAGTTCTTTATTTTACTTAAGGTACTGGCTTTCCAAAAAATAGGTAAAAAGCATTCTTATTCTGTTAAAGAGAGATACTGGAATGCTTAGGAAAATAGCTTTAAAAAAAAATCAGGCCCACAGATTAATACCTTGAAATAAGCAGTCTGGGTTTAAAAGTTCAGCAGACAAAGCTGTCTTACCCACCTTGCAGGTCAATAAAGCTTATGGCCTTTTTGCCATAAGCAAAAGGCTTTAAGGCTAAAGCATTAAGGCTCAGAAAAACAGTTATTAGAAACACAGACTTAAGGCCAAGCATGTGCCGTGAGAGCTAAACTTAAATTATTATTTGATCCTCTGAAGAAGGGCCTCTCTGACAAATACTCTAAATCTCACATGAAGCAGATGGGGTTTTAGTGACAAACCTATAGTCTGTTGGAGGGGTATGACTAAAGGCCTGCAGAAGGACTGAAAAGTCCTCTTCTAATCCCTTCTCCAAAGATTCTTAAGTTGTCCTTCTGCACTTTTATTTTGTTACTCCACTTCCAATCTTTCTTCTGTGAACATCCTCTTCCCAGGCCGCTGGTCCGTTACATACCTCCCTCCTTCACCACTGTACCTTCAAGCTCCATGATTTCCCCTTCTTCTCATTTTTAAATTGCCTCCAACTTTCTGTTCTCAAGCCAGGCCCTGGCAGAACTGCCATGACAGCCTCTCTATTTCAAAAAGGAAGGGAAGAATTCTTTATTTATAAAAAGAGGCCGTCTTGATATCGTCAGTATTGGTTGGGGAGGGGAATTCCCCTTTTCCTATCAATAATCCTCCCTACTAATCAATCTGCAAGATCTCTCTCACTGAGGGAAAAGACCAGATATTTCATTAAAGAGAGGGGACAAAAATACATGGCCATCAGTCATTTTTCCCCATTTTAAGCTAACCTTTTCAAAGTCAGTCACTCCCCTGGATATTACTATTTAAAACAATAATTTGTATGTTTGGGGTGCAATCAATTAATCTTTGGTACCAGATATTGGATTTCAACTAGATGAGTCAAGTGAACAGATTATGAAGGGTGGGTTTGCAAAGTGTGAATTTTCCCAAACTCATTTTCAATGGAATACTGCTCTCCCATTATCCTTTGCTTTTCTACTACAAAAACAGTATAAAGTTAGAAAGCTCTAGGGACTCATCTTTTTTGAATATTTCAGGAAATCCAAACATGTGAGAGAGAATCTACCTTTGCCCCATATCTAACTTACCTATATGGGGATTTTAGCAGCAGGCCAAAGTCCAATTAAACAAAATTTAGTTATAGCGTTGGCTATGTCTTGGCTACTGACATCTCTGGAGTCCCCTCTCCTCCCCATGCTACTAGTTCAAGCTATATTACACTGGTCTAGATTTAAATTATTGTCCCTGCCACTGAACACAAAATGTTAGAAAGATACAACATGAAAGAGGCATCCTTAACATTACTCTCTCGTATTAATTATGAGCTGTGAAACCACTTGCTGTTATTACACAGGTAAAGTTCAGAAGCATTTGATTAACTGAGCAAAGAAACTCAAATGCCTTTATCCATATTTGCATACAGTGTCAGGAACTTCAGATGCAGCATCTATGAAACACATGTATACAGGCCAATTAAAAGCTTTTTATTCTTCAGCCCAATGCCATCTGGCAAAATATAATCTTGCTTTCTGCATCCATTTAACTTTGGCCATGAAGTAATTTGGACAGCCTAGCAGAATGCTTATCATTCTGTAAACATCACCTTTGCATGTGTTCAGGATTAATAGTATTGTTCTGCTCCTGAAACTGTTAGAACATAATAAGGGAGACCCGCTTTGGGTCTAAACACCTCATCACTCTTTCCCAGATATACAAGAGCAGAGTTTATGAATAATCACTATTCAATCAAAATGTTTCCAGCCTTAAACCAAGGTACAAAAAACCAAAGCTTTCTTGATTTGAGCATTTTGGTAATTATTTCAATTTCAATTTGTATAGGCAAAAAAGTAAAGCCTAATCTGATTTATTTGGGACAGTGGAAAAAAATGAATTCCTTCACTTTAAAACTAACCTCAAATTCTATTTCCATTGAAGACATGAGTTTAACCTATACATTTATAAAATCTGACAGGCTTGTTTTGTCCATTTTCCCACCACTCGGAATTGTTCACTACAAAATTCAACCTGTACTAAACATTATTGCAATTATTTTCTACTTAAGTAAAATCTTGAACATAGAGACAGTACAATTAGGAAAAGGATGGAAAATAATGAAGGCAGCAGTGTGAGAAAAAGAAAAGGGAAAAAATCAAAGTGGAGAGACTTAGCAAGAAGATTAAGAAAGAAACCAGAGGTGGAAAGCTATATCATATTATTACAAAAGCCAAATTTTGTCCTCAGGAACTGGACAGCCAAAATGACTGCAACAGGACAGCTCCGGATTAAGATATGTATGACAGCAGAATCTAGAGCTCTATGCAAAAGACAGAGCAACTACTTCGGGCAGTCTATCTTTAAAAAGGAGAGGTGATGCTACATTTCCATTTAGATAGGAATATATTTTTAAGCTGTTTTTATTTTATATTTTTATTTCAACATTAGAAAATAAGGTTACCTTAGTAGGAGTGGTGGGGCGGGGCAGTTTATAACCATAAATTACAAGCATAAACCATGAAAACTTAGGAACACTAGGAGTTCTACTTATCTAAATAAAAGGGCAATTAAGCACGTCCTGTGCCACAACTGCTTGTGCCTTTAAGTAAAGGACTCTCTTTCATTAAATCTGAATTTTCCCTATTTTTTCTAAACACCTAACACATCTCAATAGCATGTACCTGGAATTCTTCACGCAAACGCTTCTCCTCTGGTCCTTGTACCTTCTCCATTTTTGTCATAGCTGTTAGCATTAATGGTTCTTGCTTGGCACCATATTCTAGAGAAGAATGAGAGAGAACAGCTACAGGAAAAGACAATTACTTCTGCATTACAGTCAATCATTGGTATCACTTCTTGCGTCAAACACAATTGAGCACTCACTCCAAAAAGTACTTGAAACAAACACAGCCAAATATCTCTCTCATATTTTGGAGAATGTATTCTTCCGGGATATTGGTGGTCATGGGTCAAGTTCACCCCTGGTGTAACTTCAGTAACATTCCATCACAGATGAATATGACCCTATATTTTCACAGGCTTTCATTTCCAAAGTGCATAGGGAAGTATTAATCTTTCATATGGCATAAGTCTAAATGCAATACAAAAGATTCACACAGTCATTTCAAATGTGCTTGAGTCAGTAATGTAATGTATGACATTTAAATTGTGTCCAGTTGACACATGACCATAAAAAAAAAATCTGCTGTTGAGCCTATTGGTTAAGTAAACTCAAAAAAATGTGGTCAAATAAAAAATTAATTTATCAGGTTGTGCTCATTTTTGTGTACCAGTTTTCTTACTACAAATTCACAGACTCAACATAGCCAAAGCATAATTGATGAAGGCATTTTTGTCTGCTGAACAGCTTCCCCTAGCACATATTGCCACTACCTAAGGATGTAAGATCAATTTCTCATTTGTCACTAGGCTCATAAGAAAAGAGATTTAGATGGTATTCCCCTTTTTGAACTAATTTAATGCAGCTGAAAATCTGTGACCAAATTAAGGCTGTAAAATAGGATGCACCCCACATACAGTATTTCTATAGCCCAGATTCTAGGACAACGCTGACTGCTAGCTTTACCTTATATATTTATGGAGAATACAAAGGACGTCATTCTCCCCTTGTACTCGGCCTTGGTGAGGCCACAGCTGGAGTACTGTGTCCAGTTTTGGACCCCACAATTCAAAAAGGATGTGGAGAAGCTTGAGAGAATCCAGAGAAGAGCCATGCGCATGATCAGAGGTCAGGAAAACAGACCTTACAACGACAAGCTGAGAGCTATGGGGCTCTTTAGCCTGGAAAGGCGCAGGCTCAGGGGTGATCTGATGGCCACCTATAAGTTTATCAGGGGTGACCACCAGTATCTGGGGGAACATTTGTTCACCAGAGCGCCCCAAGCGATGATGAGGTCGAACGGTTATAAACTACTGCATGACCGTTTCAGGCTGAACATAAGGAAGAATTTCTTTACTGTCTGAGCCCCCAAGGTCTGGAATAGCCTGCCACTGGAGGTGGTTCAAGCACCTACACTGAACACACTCAAGAGCAAATTGGATGCTTATCTTGCTGGAATCCTATGACCCCAGCTGACTTCCTGCCCTTCGGGCAGGGGGCTGGACTCAATGATCTTCCAAGATCCCTTCCAGCCCTAACATCTATGAAATCTATGAATCTAACCCAGCTTCCCCTGGCACAACATAACTAGATAACACAAGATATAATACCCTAATGTACCACAGGTAAAGCAGGGGGACTATGACAGCCAGCATACTGCTGCTGTAAATTTGTTAATATATGCTCAAGAGATCCCAGGAAGTGGGCCCACACCCCACCACCCCCTCCTGCCCCCAACTACAGAGGAAGGCAAAACCGCCGCGGTCCTTACCAATCTGGCCATGGAGTAGAACTCCTTCCTGATCCCAAATATGGTAATCAGTCTGACCCTGAACAGGAGGCACCAGTCGCCAAGCTGGGGAGGTACAGGGGAGGTTCCCCTGCATGCTCCCTGACAGACCCAGAAGTGGACCAGAAGTGCTTCTAGTCTACTTCTGGGTCTGCTACCGAGCGTGCTGGGGACCCCCCCACAATCCTGTGGGATGCTCCATCCCCCTCAACATCTCAGCATTCACGAGCCACCTGGTACCTTGAGGTATGTAGAAAAAATATTTAAAGCTGTGTCTATGGCCAAATCGTTGAATCTTTCCAAATCTCTCTGAATCGATTCAGAGGGTTCCAATTCGATTCAGAGAGATTAAAGCTTCTCCTGATTCAATTCAAATTCGGAAACTTGGCCACCAAATCGGGCCAAATATCTGTTGAATCAATTCAGCAACTGAAAGTGGCTGAAAGGGATCTTGGAGTCATTGCTGACTCCAGGATGGACATGAACCACCAATACAAGGAAGCAGTCAGTAAGGCTAACTGTACTTTGTCATGCATCTACAGATGCATCACAAGCAGGTCTAGGGAGGTGATCCTTCTCCTCTATGTGGTGCTGGTCAGGCTACACTTGGAGTACTATGTCCAATTCTGGGCGCCGCACTTCAAGAGGTATGTGGGTAACCTTAAGGGGGTCCAAAGGAGGGCCACTCGCGTGGTC